ATCTGATTTGAGAGTTATCGGCCGAAAACTTGTTATATATGTCATTTAAAAAGTTTAAGGGAGATAACGCTTCAAATAAAAAAATATTATTCTAAAAAAAAGTCAGAAAAAGCAGGTGTATGAAACAGAAGATGCACCAAATGTATTGATTAAATCATAAACACTTGTTTAAGAAAAATTGACTTTTGACAAGAGATTGTTAGTTTAATTAAGTTCTAGAGATTAAAGTAATCAAATTTAATGGAAAATCCTTGTTTATTGAAACGTTGAACTGCAATTGGTGAAATTTTGCTAAACTAGAGATGTGAGGATAGTAAAAAAAATCAACTTTAGTTCACACACTGGAAAAGAGTGAAAATAATAAGTTTGAGGGTGTGTGAATTTTACGAGTGATGAAATAACATATTTGACCATTGAGAGTCAGGAATTGAAACAACTTATGAATTTATGATGCTATGCTTAATTCTTCACACACACATCGATTTTACATTAGAAAAATGAATTTTAATTTCTGTATTGTGATTTTGAAACTGTGCATAGATTTAATATTATGATTTCAATCCCAAGATAAAAAAAATCAGGTTAGTTAGGTAAATCTTGTTGCTTTGTTTGATTGACCAGTCACCAATTAAGTAACTAGCATTGATTGTTTGTATGTTTGTTAGATTTTAGTTTTGTTTGAGGACGAACAAGGATTAACGTCTGAGAGTGTGATAAGTGTAATTTCTACAGTTATTCGAGACCCTAAATCATAATATTTTATTGTCTTTTGAATAAAATTCTACCTAATTTATGTTATGTTTTATTTTGTAGGTAAAAAATTATGTTTGATGAAGAATTGAAGAAAAGAATACAAAAATGGCGAAAAATGATAAAATCCTCTTGGAGAAAAATATTACATTGAATGATTGCGAGCTAAATGGATCTCAATAGATTTGTATTGAAAATTTTAATTCGAGGCCCAAATTAAACATATATATATATATATATGACAGAAGATATACACGCACAGGGGAGGAGGCGCATGACTGTAGGTGCAGAAAAGAAAAGCCTGGAGGAAAAAGAAGGAAGAAATAAATAGAAAAAGAAAGAAGAAAGGAAAAACAAGAAAGAGGAAGAAAGAGAGAGAAGAAAAGTCAAAGAACGAGGAAAAAAATGTGTAGGGAAGAAGAAAAAGAAAAAGAAAAGGAAACTACAAATGTCATAAATTTTCACGTTTGGTCAATTTTTGGTTATTTCTTTCCACTTTTACGCATTTTTATTTTTACAATATGAATAACTAATTTTTTGGCGATCCTTTATTTTTCTATTCAAGATTTTTGTGATTTATTTATTTGTGTTGATTTTATTATGAGTTTAATGCACTAAATTATCCGATCAACAATTTGATGATTATGTTAGTTTTGTACGAATCGAGAGGTGAGTTTGAGATTTAGACCATATAATAAAATTCGATAAATTAGTATAACGTGCAAGATACCTATACTGATTATTGCGATCATAATTTGAATTCTTAGAACCAGTGTTTCGTTTAACTAAATTTGATTTCCCTAGAGATATGTAATTGAATTAGTTAAATAGGCTCAATGAGAACTCGAAAGAGTTAAATTGAATACAATAGAAAAATTCAATCGAACATTACATTAGATTATGAATCTTGCATTAAGAATAAAGGTGATCAATAGATGAAATTGTTATTCCCTAATATTCATCACATATTTGNAATTGTTTTAATTAAATATGCTCAATAAGAACTCGAGATGGGTAAATTGAATATAATAGAAGAATTTGATCGAACACTACATTAGATTACGAATATTGAATTAAGAATTAAGGTGATCAATAGATGAAATTGTTATGCCATAATATTCATCACATATTTGAATTTTTAATTATCCATTGTTTGTAATAATTTTATTTTTTCAATTAGTTAAAAGTAGTTAGGAAAAATAATCATAATCATCATAATTATTTACTCGTTTTTGTCGAATATGAGTTAGAAAAATTATATTAAATTCTAAAGTATAGTCAATGGTCCACTATACTGTTTGTTACGAAATCGTACATTTGCGATATAAAAAACGCAACACGCATTTGGTAAGATGTGATTGTTTTTAGATAGCATTCTTATTCTTAAAATTTTGTCACAGAATATGATAAACGTTGAACAGTGAAAACACGCTGGTTCCAGAAGAGTTGACAGGTATTAGAAATAAATAAGCTTCCATCATCTCTTACGTCACCATATCTTAGTTTTCATCTGCCTAGTACTAAGAGCTCTGAGGAATATTCTTTCAAAGGTTCCAAAATGTTCAACTTTCCATATAATTGGAAGGTAGATAAATCTTGAAAATTAAAATATAAAAAAAGAAAAAAGAAGAAGATTGAAGAAAAAATATCACAATTCAAAAACTCCATATTATATATATATTGTTCAGTAGTGTGCAATTTAATTCTTTATTTTAAAATTATTTTATATGAATTGATGAATTACTGTATTATCAGCGATTCTTTCAAATTCTATATCATAGCCTTATTACTATTAAACATGGATTTGCTACTTGAAAAAATGACACGTTTTTAAAAATACATGTCTATGTAAATTGCACTTTGTACTCTATACATAAAAAATAAATGAAAGCCATAATTTAAGAAGAAATCGTCAAATGACCGGAGAAAATATAATATACTATGTCATGTTTGATATAGACTATTTGAAATTCATTGTTTCCAAACCCATTTTAAATTATACAATTCTCATAAAATAATTTTGCATATAAATCCATAATATTTTTCCACTTTTAACCACAAATTTTTAATTTTTTTTAAAAAAAATTCACTTTTCGCATAATATATTCTAAAATGTCTACATCGAAATATTCTTATAAATAGAGAATTTACAAGTTACTGGAAAGTGCAATAAAAAAAATACTCTTATAAGTTTAATAAAATTAAACTAATATATTCTAAAGTTATAAAGAAAAAAAAATCACTTTTAAAAAGAGTCACTCAATAGCCCGTTTCAATTAATTACTCAACTAAGTAATCTTTTGGGTAACAATACATCATCATAAACTTTAGCAATTGCCAAAAATCATCCAATATTAGCATATGTGGAATAGATATATTTTTCTTTTGAATATACCACGAACAAAGCACAATTTATTAAAGGTTTTTTGAGCCTTTTTTTTTTTTGGTAAAATAGATATTTTGATAGTATTTTTTGAAGAATATACAGTTAAAAAGTAGAGAAATTTTTTGAATTTATGTGTAAAATTATTTTATTTAAAAATTGAATAATTAAGTCCATAGCATGTAAGAAGTACATTTTAGTCAAAAAAAGGCATTTTTTGAGCAAAGATTCCTCATACTCAACTAATTGGATTTAGCTGTTGTTTGGACTCCATTAAAATATAGTTTTGAATTATTTTTTTTTGAAATAGTGGTTTTTTTAAAAGAATATTCGATTAAAAAATAAGAAAATATTTTCAATTTACGTGTAATATTATTATATGGGAAAATGTGTGGTTGGAAATGAATTTTAAAAAATGATCATATCTTTGCCAGAATGAACTGACGGATGAAGTGGAGACGAAGGTGATTTGATGAAAAAATTGATTTTATTTTAAATAGTCAATGATAAAATGTCATGTGCCATTACGTTAACTTTTTGAGTAATGATATTCATCATCACTGGTATTAAGCACCAGTATATGTGTCAATTATATGATATTAAATGATAAATTCATTTAAATGCAAAGTCAAATAATTCATTTAATTCAATCTTTAAAGTGAAACCACGTATATTGATGTTAGATATCATTATTCAACTTTCTAGACACCATAGCGTAATTTGAGAAATTAGTTTTTGAAAAGAGTAATGATATTCATCCCCACTGGGGATGGAAATACAATCCATGTGGCGTTAATGTGACATTAAATGATAGGTGAAATTAAATGATTTCACATTTCATTTAATCTATCATTTAAAGCCACATAAATTGTGTTTTCATCCTCACTGGGGATGAAAACACAATTTACGTGGCGTTAATGTGGTATTAAATGATATGTGAAATTAAATAAATCATTTAATTTTACCTTTTATTTAACCTATCATTTAAAATTACATAAATCGTATTTTCATCTCCACTGACGATAAATAACATTACTCTTTTAAAAAATAGGGTCAAATAGAGCTTATTGCTTAGCTGTCATTAGACTCAATACCATTTATCGTTGGCTGTACCTACCTAACTCTGCGTACACCGACCGCACACCTAATTAAATTAACCAATCAAAGGAAATAAAATATTACTTTTAAGTGATTAAAGAAAGCAAAAAACTCCATTCCCTGGCCTATAAATACCCCCCTTCTTCCCCTTTAGAAACCTTCTTTCCCCCAACTTTTCCTCTTCGTTGAACGGGTAAGTTTTCCTCCCTTTTTTTTTTTTTTGTTTTTTGTTTTTTGTTTTTAGTTTAATGTTGTTTTTTTTTCCTCTGTTTTTTAATTTAAAGTTATTTGTCTTCTGCGTTTTTTTTTTTCCCTGTTTAGGTGTTTTGATTTTGGTGATCAGTTGTAATAAATTAATGTTAATTTTCTATGATTTTGCAGATTGTTTGAAAGTTGAATTACCCAGGTTCTTTCAGATCTAGGGTTTCTAACAATTCTATAATACTCGAATCAGAGACCGAGAATTGAATTTGTGATCAAATTCTATGATTCTGTTCATTTTTCCGTGTATATCTTTATGACGGACGCTATCCAGATGCATCGAATTAGAATTCTCCACTCATTCTCAGTTGTTTTCCTCCACCATTTCTACCTGTTGTCGTGAATCAGCCCTTTGATCGTCCAAATTCCCAATTTTTCCGCAATTCCCAAAATTATTGATTATTTAGACCCTCACTTTTTTATCGATCTAACTTTTAAATCGAAATCCTAGAGTTAATTGTAAAAATAAATTCAAATTCTGTTAACTGTTTATTCAAAGAGTCAAAAAATGTCTACAAAACAGCAGCCAACTAGCTCAAGTTCCGATGTGGACCAACGCTATGCTGTGTATGATGAAAGGAAAAGGAAGAGAATGATATCCAACCGGGAATCTGCGCGCAGGTCTCGGATGAGGAAGCAGCAACATCTGGATGAGATGGTTGGCCAAGCGAGCCAGCTGCAGAACGAGAACAATCTCCTTTCACAGAAAATCAATAACACCACTCAACTTTACCTTGGCGTTGCCTCTGAGAACAACGTGCTGAGAGCTCAGCTAGCAGAGCTGACCGATCGTCTACGATCACTGAACTCTGTTCTTGAAATTGTGTCTGATGTTAGTGGGCTGGCGGTGGACATTCCCGATATCCCTGATACCTTACTCGAGCCATGGCAGATGCCTTGCCCAATACAGCCCATCACTGCATCTGTTGATATGTTCCAGTGCTGAATAATGGTAGAAGTCTCCACCGAGGCATTACTGGTTTTACTATTGTAATATGTGTCATTAGTGGTCATGCTTTGTTTTTCCTTTTCAGTATGTCCTTTGAGTCTAGAATGTTAGGGTATTAAGCGTATTGTTGATACAGAGTACTCGATGTTACTGGATAGTGAGTCTCCTTCAAAACTATCGAGTATTGTCTTTGCCTATTTTGTCAAGCATGCTATAAGGGTTTTGCAGATGTTGCTATGGAGTCAATCAGATCGATGGTAGCCTGGATGTAAATTGGTCAATGGTTTCTGGCAGTAAAAACTATTTTACTGGATTGATGGTTTCTTGCTGTATGAAATTTTGTTGAAAATGGTGTGTGAATTTGAATTTTTAGGTGGTACTGCTCTTTATTTCACAAATCCTGCAACAAAGTGAAAAGAGCCTATAAAAAATACAAAAGAAAATGTTAGATTAAATGTAACAAAGAGTAATGCTATTTGCCTAGGTAGCGGCTACATTGTATTAAATAATAGATTTACCTAATACTATATTCGATCCACATTCTTACAAAAATTCAGTTTTTAAAACTTATTTTCAACCACATTCTTCAATAAAGTAATATTAAACGCAAATTCAAAATTTTTCTTTATTTTTTAACCACATATTTTTCATCAAATCACTATTTAAAATTCATTCTCAACTCAATAATGTGCATCAAACAGGATATACAATATCACATTATTCATTGAATTGAATTGATTAGGTGCGATCACTTAGATTGGTGCTCTAGGATCACCAGTGTCAAATAGTAATTCTTAATTGACGCATCAATGACTTGATTTTAGTCTATAATTGGTGATGTGCCCAATAGATATAGTTTGTCCCTACAAAGATGGAAATCTTATTCTTTCCCTCATACCCCAAACATTGGTCAATCAGCATTTAAGATTAGGTTGGTCATATTTGAGGAAAAACCATCACTATAAAATGAAATTGTATCAATAGAAAGTTATAGTTGGACATTTGAAAAGTTATTCACTTACAACAATTATCCTATGATGTTTAATGATACAAATTTCTATACCTTTTAATTTATTTTGCATAAAAATAGATTGTTGCACAAGAAAATTCATACAACATTTGACCTCTTTTATAATATAATAAAATAGAATAATAATAATATCTAGCATTAAAGGTGATAAACACCACCATATGTGATGTGTACTTCGCTATAAATGATAAGACCAATTATATACAGTGTTATGTGTCTCATTTAATCGGACATATCATATGTTGCCAAATAGAGTGATTTTGTAGCACGGGTGGTGTTATATGATATTACCCACTAAATAAAGACAAGTATACAACTCTTTGTTGATCCAAGAATTTAAGCCATTCCCAACATGCCGCATGCAATAGATATTCATTCATTTTGTGTTACAAGTGGATAGTATCCGCCTCAAGGGCTTTCGTGGGATGATCAATATTTTGAAAATCGGATCGGACATAAACTCGAAAATGTACTTTGTATTAGAATTGATAAATTTTATGGCTCAAATCTTTAATATTCTCTTATTTCTTATTCATGTTTACTATTTAAGTAGAATACTGTATCCATTATTACTAAGAAGATGAAGTAAAGGGTCAAAGATATAAATTTTGAACTGATTTGAGTCAGAATTGAACTATTCGTCAAAAATAATTTAAAATATACATCTTTTTGAAAAAATGCCACGTCGACAGTGGATTTAATTTAATTAGGCTTTTGCTTTTACTTTTTTCCCTCTCCACACCATACTTCAACGTCACTTCCCACAGTTTTTGTACTCCACCCAACCCCAATAAATATAATTTTCCAACCACCCCAAATCTCATAATTAATATTTATCGACCTATGTAATATTTATCATATTTTTTTACCATGTTGTGTAATATTTATATGTGACAAACACGTATTAAGGATTTTGCAATGTCTTTTATTTGTTATCAACTTTTGTGCAATTTAACAAAAATGTTTACAAGTGTTTATAGCAAACATAAAAAGCAAAAATTACATCGTATCTCAAAAATTATTATTAGAAAATACAAACGATACTACGGATAAAAATATCTTGTTTGGACGTCGTAATTGCTACTGGCAATTCTTGTGTACGATACGTCTAAAATCGTTCGACTCGTGATCAAATTTGGGATGATGGGATTCGTCCACCAAATTCGACCTGAGAAAATGGAAATAATGTTAGATGAGTTGCACAACATATCAGTAATGAGCAAAAAATAAAATAATTATTTTTTTTGTAAATTAGGGCATATTCGTTTGTCGTGGCCATGAACACCACATGAACGACATTGCCTACTACATCTAGAAATATATTTTTCTTCGACGATTTTAGTCGTTTCCGCACCCTTTTGCTCTAATTGCATTTAGATCACCTACAACTTGACTTTCTTCGCGACTTTTGCTTCCAATCTTGTTCATGACAACATTGCCTCCGTTATCGATCTCTTTTAGGTTGATACGCAACTTATTAAATTTGCCCGACAAATAGGTGTTGTGAGCATTTGTTAAAGAAGCGTCATCGACTAGCAAAGAAGCCTTGTATGTCAGCATCCCACGTCGTCCCATCAGTAACTACTCGTAATCGTCGTCAACAGATCAACCACCCATAGGTTCGTCAATTGACCCAACCTTGGCATTCGTCATCCATCTTTGTAGAATGTATTTCTCCCGTAAAAGTAAAAACTTGTTTTTTCTTGAAATATCTAAGCGTGTGTCGACACAAAACCTTCAAATTCAAACATTCCAAAACAGTATGTGATGAAATCCAAATTTGTGAAATAGATAAGTACACGTTGACGTTCGAAAGTCTTCCCCCGGCTCAAATTGCTTCACCCCATACACTTTTGCATTGATGGAGTCCGACTTCTTTGAGCAAATGTAAAAATTATTTTGCTCAACTTCTTTCTGAAAAAACATGAAATCTTTTTTGTATAAATTTGGACCATCTGGTGTTCCATTATGCCAACCGATGTCGGTCTTGGTTGTTCAGTGAGATCGATGTGGTTGGCAACAAATTCTTCATGTCATTGATGAGCTAGTGCCCTAATGAAATGATTAATGAAACCTATCAGTGAATTCTTTTAGTTGGGGCTTGTTTGTGATGGATTAAAATCAATTAAAATTGAAAATATAACCGTTGGAGTTGACTTTTATTAGACGGGTGAGACTCAATAACGGCTATATTTTCAATTTTAATTGGATTTTAATCCTTCCCAAACAAGCTCTTGATGTATTTCTTCATGAATGAGTGACCACTCTCAGATCTTTGGCTGCTAGACATGCCTGCACTGAAAACCTATTTCACATATGCAGGTGCCCAACGAATATGTATCTAGTACTTGTTATCGAGCTTTTCATTGCAGTCTAGTTGTGTAGTTTCCATTACTTCAATCCAGTGGTTCTTGAAATCCTCAGGTGTTTTAGATTGTTTGATGATATTTACCAATTTGTGAGATTGCTTGTTGTATGATCTAGCATTGTTCTTCTCCGAAAACTTGTTAAGTATGTGCCATAAACAGTAACGATGCAATGTGTTGGGTAGTATTATTGATATGGCTTTTGAAATTATAGAATCTTGATCAGTAATGATAACCCTCGGTGATAAATGATTTATCATTGCTTCAAGGAACTTTGAGAATAACAAAACAAACAATTCGACTGTTTCGTTACTCAATAACCTACAAGTGAGAATAATTATCTGTCCATGGTGGTTCACTCCAACAAAAGGGTCAAAAATCATCGATTGCTTATTAGTGTTATAGGCTGTGTCGAACACAACAACATCGCTGAAGTATGGATACGATCTTCTCTACTTCGAATTAGCCCAAAAAATCGAAGCAACTTTCTATCTAAATCAGTCTCGTAATCAAAATACAAGTTTGGGCATTTTTCTTTCTCAACTGTAAAATGTTCAACGAGATCATCTGCATTTCCACTTTGTTCAACTCGTTTATTCCTTTCGTAGTTCATGATATCTCTCTCAACACACCCAATGTCCCAATCGATAAAAACCGCCCGATTCTATCTCCATAAGTTGCATATGTTGGCATGTTGGTCTATTGGCCTTCGAAAACTGTTGTGCAAGTGCCTTCTTTGTGGCCGACACTATTCGGTGTGATTTCAACAAATGTATTCTACTAGGAGTAGTAAGACTATGGTTATGCTCCTCTACAAATTTGTTCACAACACATTACAATCCAATTTGTTGTTTGACAATAGATAATCTAGTGTTGCATCCGACTTGTGTCTTTCCAAATTTTCTTTCCCCAACCCATGCCACAAGATCTTTTTGTTTTCTCCGTAAGCATCATCTGTTTTTCCTTCCCTTGAGCACACAAATAATTTCTAGTATGTCTCGCTTGTTTTTCTTACTATTTTCTATTCTTGTACTAATTCCCGCTTCTCCTGCATACTGATTATAGAAACTATATGCATCCTCATGTGACTCAAATTCCTGTCCTACTCTAAGTATTTGACTAAGAAAAAATTGTGGAATAAACACATAGTCAACACTTTCTGAATCCATCCCCACAATAAGTAATAAAAAGTCAAAATTAAGGCATGTTTATTTTTTCAGTAGTAAGGAACAAAATTTTAATTTTTTATTTCAATATTGTTCCGTGCTTTACAATTCAAAAATACAAAACAATCCATTAATTTTCAACTTACCTTTAATTTTTGGTTATTAAATCACAACAAAAAAATAATTTATGGTTATGAATGAACAAATGTTGGTCATTACTGAGTAATATTACAAAATAGAAAATATAATAAGAAATTTATTTTACCAATATGAAAATTAAATACCACCACAAAACAATCACTAGCAATATATCAATTAATGGAATGTCGGTAATATGATAAATTATATATTAAAAAAAAATCACCTCAAAGACTAGAAATGCTCCCAACAGTTGCAAGTTAGACATTTTTCTTAGCTACATTTATTTCATTTTTA